TGTTCAGAACAGATTCACAAGCGTCCGGCTCCTGTCCTTCCTCATCTCCTTCTTACCACTTCTCTCTACTCCCCTTTACACTCTTTTTGTGTCTCTTCTCCCTTTTTCTTAATTTTTCTCTTCTCTCTCCCTAGCTCTGACACTTTCCCTCTCCAACTTCGCTTTACAGTTTTTAAGTCTGGGAAGATAAAAATAACCCACATTTTAAAATCACAACGAAAAGATCACACATCCTCCCTACAGGATAGGGAGGGCACAATGAACAGAAAAACTGTATCGCCCATTTGTTGTTCTAAATGACAGATGGTATTGACATTTTCCCCATGAAAACAAAATGAAATAAAAGTCTTGTTTTAATAAAAAACTAAAAGTAAATTTGGGGACTTTTAAATGGGAAAAGTGTCTCAGGAGGTGAGCCCGGTGCATCCTTGCTCCATTGCCCATAAAGGATCACTTTTATCCTCACATCTGACTGAGCGTTGAGTTGACAGGGACCCAAAGATCAAAGCGCTCTCTGGGCCATCCCGGCCTTGCCAGCCTCCCCTGAGACTTGCTTTGCCCAATGCAGTTAGCGTGGCCTGGAGCCAAGCCTGCTCCCTAAGATCCAGCTATTCCAAATTACTTGGTTGTTTGGGGCCAAAAGGAGAATGAAATCAGAGAGCGATTTCACCCACGTAAGGGATGAGAACTTCAGGACACCGTAATTTGGACTTGATTCAATGAAATACCAAGTCAGCAGTCACACTTGATGTGCAGGTGTCTCCTTGTATGCTGTTGCCTATTCTTGTCAGCATTCTGTGTACCGGGTCATGGACAGGAATGATAGACATATAACTTGTTGAGAAGGATACTGAGATTCAGAGAGGGTCACCAATTAGACACAATTAGGTTAAAACGCTCCTTACAGAATCAAAGTGCCCTATTTTATGTGTTTCAGAAGTGGACTCACTTTCTGACATCCTGAAAACATTTTTAAAGAGTTGTTGCCCCTCAGTTTTATCTCCCCCAACCTTACATAGCAAAGTTGAGCTTCTACGCAGTGAACCTTCAGCAGGGCCTTCCTGTCTGCCCTGCACACTGCAGGCTGCAGGAGCCAACACGCCAAACCTACTGCCTGTGGGGCACATCCATGTTCGGGATCCAGGCCACACGCCCTCCTTTTCTGGGACTTTGGCTATTTTCTCGACCTCACCTTGGCTACTCCTGAAGTGATCCCAGTCATTCTCACCTCCTTGGGGTGTTGGCTCACTCTTCCCTGTGTTTTATCTCCGTGCCTCTGCTCGCTCTGCCTCGTGGCCTGTGGTATCAGCTGGCTAACCTGTCCCAGCACAGGTAACGTCTCCTCCGGGAAGCCTGCCCTGCTCTCGCTGGAGGAGTGGCTCAGGGTTCCTTCCTTGAGTCCCCATGGTACCCTGTGCATCTTTCCATCACTGTTTTGAGCAGGGAGCCTTGTAGTCTGATATATAGCATATATATCTGTTTTCATCACAAGTTCCTTCAGGGACAGCCTGTATCTTATTCATCTTTGTACCTCTAGCACTTCCCATAATTTCTGACGCAACAGTTCCAGCTCGACCTATGCTTCCCGAATAAGCAGGTGTTCTATAAGATTTAAAAGAGAGAAAAAAGAAAGTGACGGGGGCTCCTAATGTAGGGCTACAGATAGTTTTTCCCATTAAAAATTGGCTTAGGATTGATAGTGTAACTTCAAATGCACGCATATTTTTAAAAAGAATATTCTATTTGGTAGCATTTGATGAAGGGAGAACGGATTTGAAACACTGTGACAGAAGGCAAGCTCTCAGGTTTCTCATTAGCTTATGGGCTGTTTACTTTGACTCTCAGGGTTTGTGCTTCACAGAATTCTCTGGAAGCCTGTAAGAAGACCTTCTCAGATAAAGCGTGTCCTGCCCTGATCTTGATTAGTGATGGTGCTCACCTTACACCTAACTTGTTGGTTTAAGCAGAAGTGCTCTCCTAATCACTGAAACCTCCGTGACTTCTTAGAGACAGTAAGAAGCGAGATGGGAGAGAGACTCGCCATCATCAGAAACAAATCTACAGAAAGGGGAGCCAAATCACTGGGCCAAGTGCCTCCTTCCAGGGGGACCTCTGAGCAGGTTGCAGCCTCACTATTCCCACTAGGAGTCAGGGTCAGTGATGATGGCATTGTCTCCGAATAGCCTCGGGCTCACTTTGCGCAGACTTGGAGCCCCTTTGGGTTCAGGGTTGACCCCCTTTTATTATTGCTGTGGAATTGGAGGAGGTAACAAACACATACCAGGTGTATGAGCATCATGGCCATTACCTTGGAGGAAAAAGGGCTCACCCTTTCGCTGGCTGGAGAACATACGTGTGGTACTCTAGAGAGGTTATTAGTGCAGCCTGTAGCCTGTTTCCCTTCCTCAGCAGGGCCTGTGTTTGTCTGAACCCATATGGAATCACCTTTCAACTTAGATGGGGAGTTTATTTTTTCTAACTTAGATGGTTATTTGGGAAAATTCACGTAAATCCTCTTTTTCCATTAATATTCCTGGGCTCCCATTTTTCCATCCATAAAACAAGGTAGTTGCCATAGAAAATCTTGGGAGTTGTTTCCAGCTTTTAAAATTCCACCATTTATCATTCTATCTCCTTTCATTGTTCTTACTTCGAATTCCCAAATCGTTATTCATATATTTGTGTGAACAGAATGGGTAAAAAAGCCTCTTGTTCCACAGGTAAGTGGCAGCCTCTCTTTTGGAAGGACAAGGCTCAATTGTGATTGGCCACTTTCAAGGCCAATAACTGAGGAATTACAGGAAAGACTTGAGTCTTCTGCCAGCATAGCTGCAACCTGAGATGGCCTTAGTGCAAAGGATATTTATAAGTTGAGTTTCAGAATAATAATTCAAATGCTTAAGAGCCTCGTCTTGTGATGTTATCACAAGAATGTCCAGATGATGTTTTCTTTAACTCTAAGAAGAGTGATTTAGAAGGCTGGATCTTGCCACATGTGTCCAGTGTATGTTTAACACTCTTGGGGAAAAATTTTTTCTATAAACGCAGAAATAACCAACTCTGAATGCTTGCAAGATATTCATTTCTTTGTTTACAATTGTCAGGACCTTATATATACAAGAGTACAAAATTAATAAACACTATCAAATTTATGCTATCATAAACCAGGCAACAATATTTTATTTGCACCATAAGGTATTATTCTGTAATTTCACCCTTAAATGTTTTGAAATGAAGGAAAATTGAACCAAATTTAATTAGAGTTCATGAAACATTGCTGAGAGTTCCATAGTCAGCCTGTCTACATATTTAACAACCTATAAAACTTTTTACTTTTTGCAAATTAAATATCGCCACTTGATAATATACATATTCCTGAAGAAGACTGACTGTTTTGAAAGCCTTGGAGGCATTTCTCCATCCCAGGTATTTCCACAGTAGACTCCTTCCTGGAAGAGCTCTGCCATGTGTGTGTGGGAATGGCATAGAAGGATGAGGCAAGGGGAAAACGTACTCTTGATCTCTTGACCCCCTCCACCCCCCACTTCCCTACACCCCTGTCATTTTCTGCTCATGTGCACGCTATGCTCATCCTTGAAAAATGTTCTGACTGGCATGGAGATGCATTCTTGTTCCTTTTTGAAAGCCTTGAGGTGTTGTCTGGAGAGGCCCTTGCCTGAGGTCGCTGCCATTTCCCACTGTGTGAAAATCCCTGTTCTCGGAAGCCGGCCTTTCCCTGTATCCCATTCTCCGGACACCCGGGCATCCGAAGGATGATCTTTTCATCTGGGAGAAATGACGTATGGCACTTTTTCTTGTGCAAGGGCAGGTGGTGCTTTCCAATGCCATGTCAAGGTCAAGAGCAATATTCTCAGGGCATCTTATTCAGGTTTATCAACTTCCTTTTGCCACTGTGGTTTCTTATCATTCAAATTTACAAATCATAAAGGGAGCTCATGGAAAACCTTTTTATAAAAATGAACAGGGCCAGCCGAGTGGCGCGTTGGTTAAGAGCTGGTTTGGGTCACCAGCTCTGAGCAGCAGGGCCCCGGTTCAGAACCCACATGAGGGCCAGTGACACTGCCCTCTACAGCTAAGATGGTGAACAGCAGCTCGACCTGGAGCTGGGCTGCCATGAGTCGCCGGTGACGGCGTAGGCTGCAGTGAAGCTGCAGTGGGCTGCCATAACCTACCGTGTGTGGCCAGCAGCCAGCGTGAACAGCTGGTAGCTGATGTAAGCTGCCAAGAGCCTCAGTGAGCAGCCGTCCAGAAGCCGGTGACGAATCTGCTTCACCCAGGAAGAGCACAATGATAATACCAACATGGGCCAGTGAAGCACCGTCCTACACAACTAGACTGAAGAACAAAAGGACAGCAACTTGTCTGTTCCCCTTCCCAATTCCCCAATAAAATCTTTAAAAAAAAAAAAGAAATGAACATATTGTTTCTATCCCTGCCTTTCTATTTTGGGGGAAGGGAGAAAGGGAAGATGTAATGCTCTGTCACACATTTGAAGGGTACACATAGCCCCACTGGATGCGGGCTCTGAAGAGAACTCTTGTTTCCAAAACCATGGTAGTTTTTCCTGACAGAGTCAACAAAAATAGGGACTTTTAAAGTTGTGGAATGCATTCAAACACAAAACTGCTCCTGACTAATTTTTTTTTTTTTAAGTATCATTGAAAATGATGACCAGGGCTGGCCAAGTGGCTCAGTTGGTTAAGAGCTCGCTCAAGAGTTTGAGCTCTGAGCAACAGCGGTTCGAGTCCAGCCTGAGCTGAGCAGCCGCTGAGCTGCCAACAGGTAGCAGGATGGCTCAGCTTAAAAAAAAAAGAAAATGATGACCATTTCAAGGGTGAGTTTCAGTGATTCACCCAGAGAAGCGAGCCACTGCTTGGCTAGAGATGACAGTGACCGACAACAGGACAGCTGATGTCTCTCAGCACACATGACATTCCCAGAGCACTCACCAGAACCATATTTTCTCTTCTTTGTGACAGGTTGTTGAAACACCGGGTGTCAAAATGACGGAGCGCTTTGACTGCCACCATTGTGAAGAATCTCTCTTTGGCAAGAAGTACATCCTGAGGGAGGAGAGCCCCTACTGCGTGGCCTGCTTTGAGGCCCTCTACGCCAGCATGTGTGAGGAGTGCCAGAAGCCCATAGGCTGCGACTGCAAGGTACCCCTGGACATCCCCTGGGCAGTGCCCAGGAACTCCCCAAGAACCACGGGCCTCTCTGTGGTTATGCTGAAGTACTGCCCTTTCTCACCTATTGATTCCATCTTTTGGTCCCCGCTCTGCTGGGCTTGGACCCTTCCAGCAGCCTTTCCGAGCCCCTTCCCTCTGTTTGTTGGGTCTCTGCTAACTCCTAATTCCGTAGCACTTGGTTTGTGCTTTCCCAGGACATTTGCGCTGAGCAACCTAAGTACCCTCCTTACAATCTAGTTATCCGTGTCCCTATCTCACTGCCCACCCCACCTTCCAACGCTGCAGCTTTCCCGAGGGCAACACTCTCTTACTCCGCTTGTCTCATGCTGACTCACCAGAAGCATGTATGGCTCAGTAAATATTTGATGCATGAATGTGCACATGAGCGAGCCAAAGCTGATTCTCAGATAGGTGGACACATAAGAGCAGGAAATTCATTAGAATATTAGGAGCTCTTTTCTCTTTATTGGTTGGTCAGGCTTTGTATTGTTTCTTTTTTAAGGGGAAAGACACATGCATAAGAGATTCCCAGCTCTCCTGCTGTAGATGGCACAGCAGGTTCAACTGAGGTTACTGGTCCTTTCTGTTGACTGACTGGGGTTGAGTGTGGGGAACCCTGGCCTGTACTTCTCAGTACATCCTTTGTCCAACCTGGACCACTGAAGGATGCCCCTGGGAGTTTGACCATGTCTCTAAGATTGCTAATATCTTCTCCTGCAAAACAGCTGCTGAACCACACTTGACAAGCACTTTAAGTGACTGCCATCCTGAGAGCCACAGATTTGGTACAAAATGGGGTCACTACGGAATCTCTAAAGGAGTTCCCAGATTAATGGACGCCAAGGCAGCTCATGGCATTTCACTATCTCTTTTCTGCTCTCATTCCTTTGCATTTGTTTGGGAGGATTTTGCCACTCTCCTCCATGATTATAAATATCACTACATAACTGCCAACTGATTAAGCCAGGCTGTGTCTACAAACACACCCAATGTACATATTGTATATTTCTTTATTTTATCACATCATTCCCGGAAAGGCAGTAAGCTATGGGCTGTCCCATCAGCTTCTGTTGCTAGGTACTTAGTGACAATTGAGGAATAATCATCATCTTATGTGGAAGGAGACCTTGGTCCTGAGCAGAGACATGGGCCACTAGAAAACAGGCTGGGCCATGTATCTTTTGCCTTCAAAACAGGAAAGACTGCCAAGTGTCAAAGAAACAAAACACAGCATTTGTTCTGTGGAAACTTTAAAATGGTCAGCGGTTTGGCCACCCTGAGCAAAAAGTAGCTGATCCTCTGGTCTAAAAGGTGAATATCTTCCTATGTCCAGTGTGGTCTGATGTTGTCTCCCTGTACTTGGTGGGTGTTCTTAGTCCCTCTCCATTTATTTACTAGGACCAGGCATAAGAGCTCAGATGCTGAAGTGTCTGGTTCCAATCCTGGCTCTGTGGTTCACGAGCTATATGAACTTGGGCCAGCTACTTGACCCCTCTGTTCCCACCTTCACATTTATAAAATGGAGATAAAACAAGGGTACCTACTTCATAGGGTTATTATGGTATGCAGATACAAAGCCCTGAATACTTGACATGGCAGCCGATGGTATCACTATAAACTCCAAACTTCCACTTTTCATCTATTTCCGTTTGTTTTTTCTGTAACACGTTCCCTCCATATGCTTCTCAAAAGCTCTGCCCTCTCTCTTGATCAGTTTTCATTATAGAAACATCAATAAAAATGTCCAATTTGAGGAAGAACTAATAAGCAGAGAAAAAAAATATTATTTTACAAAAAGCTTTGCCTGGAAAAGACTTGAGCAGGTGAGAGCTTTAGCTATTATCCTGACAAAGAACAACTCTAGTTGAAAACATTTTGGATATTTGGGGCTAGTCATCCTTCACTGGTGACTAATGCAAAATCAAAGTAAAAATCACTGACCAGTTCTCTGATACAATTTAGTGGAAAGACCCTTAAAGTTCGTCGTCCTTCAGCATGTACTTTATGAGCCAATAAACAAGAATCCCCCAAATGGGGCCAAAATCAACATGACTGCTGCAAAGTCAAGAATTAATCATGCTGAACTTTTCAACCCAGATTAACGGTTTACTGTATGTGGAGTAACTTTCTACATTTTGGGAGAAAAGGAGATGCTGACTTGAAGTTAGACCTTGCCATTTGGGGCTTTTGAATATTTGGACTGGTTCTCTGGACTTTTATGTAGTGGACAATTATGTAGTTGACTTTGTGGAGGTAGTCATGATAGGAAAATAAAATGTTTCTATTACTTCAGAAAGTAAGACGTCCTGGCAGGCAGGGCGCTCGAGAGAGCAGCTGAGCTGGCAGATGTGGTGGCCATTCTCTTTTCTTAAAAGCGTAGGCACCATGAGCCTCACTTCACTCTCCCTCTGAAGGACAGGGGTATGTGTTATCATTTTAAAATATTGGCAAGCCCATGGAAATTCGGCTAATTCTGTGGTCATTGACTGCCTTTTACTTACGATAGTCAAGACTCCAGGAACTATTACCATAGTTAGCTTACATATGTTTAAATATCATTTCTATGCGGTCACTCAGTTATATTCTTTATTTTCATTTAGTTACTCTGAGAAAATGCTGTGCTCTCATTTATTTTTACAACTAGTGGAATAGCCAAAAACAGGTAATACAGATAAAATTTCATAGTCCTCTGACATTACACTATTCCTGAAGTTTTTGTTGAACACCTGTGGATACTACTAGCAAAAAAATGTTTAGCTTGATTTTAGCTGTTTTGTGGATGGGTGTATCTACCTAAGTTCTGGGCTTCAAAAATTCAGGAAATGAAAGAAGAGATAGGCTGGCCAGTAGATAGCCAGAGAGATGGCTGTAAGATGCATTTATCAAATCAGTGACTTTAACAAACTCTAGGCCATATGCCCAGCTCAGACTTTGCATTTTCCATGCCTGTGTGAGCAGGGTCATGAAGTCAGATAGGCCATCAAACCCACCCATGTACACTAGAAGGTTCAGTAAAGAGGATGAAATAGTCATGAACAAAAGTCAATCTGTGAATCTAAAACCTGCACTTAGGGTTGGCTTCCAAGAGTTGTTACAAAAGCTACCACACTCTGAGTGATTGCTTGGTTCTGAGTAATGCAAAATGCTTTAATTGCATGATCTAAACTCCTCAGAATACCCCACAGAGAGGAACGGTTTTCATTCCACTTTATGGAGAAGCCACTGAGGCTAAGAGAGGTTGAGGGTCTTGCCCGGACTACAGGGTTGGGAAGAACTCGAGTTGCAATTTGAACCCAGGTGCTGTGGTTCCTGACCCATGTGCAGTACTGTCTTCCACACACACTCCCGGGTGGAACACTGTCTCCGTGGCTCTCAGGTCAGGTGTCGATTGGACTAGCGGTCAGTCCTTCAAGTAGAGGCTTCTGCTTGGCCCCTATCAATTGACCTCGACAAAAGGCTTCCACCTTTCTCCTGGGCCCCTTCAGATGGCAGTGACTGTGCTATAGAAATGATGCTCAATTTGTTTCTAGAACACTATTTCTAGCTTCCTAGTTAAATGGGAACCATTGAATTGATGATCAGATTGGCACATGTCCGACCCATCAAACTATAAAAGTTTCTCAGTCAACATTTGGAAAGTTCTTAAAGGATAGAAAACTTCTGGGGCCTTTTGGCAGAAAGCAGCCAGGGGAATGAAACAGGAGACTAAAGTTTTTGCAAATCCAGGTTAAATCTAGATGTCCCTGTTACACTTTTAGAAGATTCCTGGTCAAGCCTGGCTGTGGGGCATGAGGTCAGATTGGGAAAACTGGTTCTCCCTGCCTCTCCTGCTGGCCCCTCTGAACTATTCTTCTGGGAAGAGCAACTATTCCAGACACATTCCCACAGTCCAGCTCACCGACATAATACTTTTTTAAATGTCGAGGTGATTTTTAAGTGCTTAGTGAGTGAATCACCTTTTTAAATTTTCCAGTAATTTGTCCGAAGAGTTTGGAATGAGCACCAAAAAATATGTGTATTTATTTAGACATCCTCCTACAAGAGAAAAGTCTGTTTCTGAAGGGAATTGAGTAAAAAGCAGGCTCCTCAGCATTGGGAACAAATGGTCAGATGGGTAATCTAAGAAAGATCTCTCAGTCCATAGAAACCAAAGGGTCACCTGCAAGGCATGTCCCTCCCTTCCCCGCCCCCCCACCCCGCAAGGTACACAGCACTCGGTGTGTTCGGTAGTGACACCTTGCCCATTGCATTAGGTGGAACTCCAACCAGACTTGCCTGGGTCCACCATCAATGGGCTGTGTGACACGGACAAGTCATGCCATCTATGAGCCATGGTGTCCCTATCTGAAAACGGGGGTATCTATCCCGGGGCAGTTAACTAAGTCAACATAGACAGAACACTTGGAACAGAGCTCCACAGAGGAAGTACTTTCATTTCCGCCAACATCTGTTCTCCTTCACCTTTGTTGTCAAAGATGTGAAAGAATATTACCATTGGAAACATGATAACCTGACAATTTCAAAACACAGGACATCTTTTTAAAATGCTGAGCATGGCTGACACTGAGAACCCACTTATAAAGTGGAATCTTCTGGATGTGTGGAGTGGTGGTTTGGGAAATCTCCCAGCCCAGGTGGCACAGCGTGTAGAGGAGGAGAGGGTGCCAGCGCCAGGCCAGCTTCAGCCTGGAGCCACCCTGCTGCCTGGAGCCACCCTGCAGGTAACTGAGGGCTCAGGGGGCTCCAGGCCCCTTACTCCACCCCACGGCTCTGCTGAAGTCTCAAGAAAGACACATTCAGAGCCAAGGAACAAGCACTTCCCATATTAGGAATGTTTTTGAAATGGAAAAATATAAAATCTGACAGGAAGTGTTTTGGCCTAATCTTACATTGTTTATCAACATTTTACTGCAATTTATGACATTTCTGGGAGCACAAGATTAGCTCTGGTATTTTTCCTGAGATGTATA